TTGATCAACCTAGGGAACAAGTATCTGGTGATGCTGATGTCGTGAAAGACAACTTAAAGAATAATTTGTTGAATGAAATTATGATGAATGATATAGGAGATGAAAAGAAGATAACAAGGCTGGAGATTCGTTGTGATAGAAGAGCAAGATGGTTATACATTTCTCATTACATTGATAAAGTCTTGCGATCGTTTTATTGTCATCAGTCCAAACATGTTGGTACTTTTTTGGCGGTTCCAGGAAATTGGGAGAAATCTTATTGGGAAGTGGTAAAGTGGATCTTAAAACACTTGAAGGGAACACTTGATGTTTTTCTGGTGTGTGGAGCCAATGCACGACATACAGACTTGTTTAGATCGATAGACTCGGACCACGAAAATGATCTGGTGATAAGTAGACAATTGGCGGTTTGTCTTATTCTGGGTTTTCTTTTGCATGTGGAAAAAAACTATCATATTCTATGATAGTTTATGCATTCAAAAGTTTGCTGCCAAGGAAAATACATAATACATGATGACAAGGTCGTTTCCCAGGGAGAAGTTTAAGCTCTGCTTGGACTTGGTTGATGTTCGTAGGAGGTAATCCCGTTTAGGGTTTGACAGCAAAAAGGGAGAGGAAGTTCTAGCTTAATGTGGAGTTTAGAGGATGTTCAAGTCAAGGTGGAGATTGTTAAATGTGACTTGAGCATTTGGAGCCTTCACATTGAACATTTGATTTTAATAGAGAACATGTGCTCATGGAGCATGTGACAATAGAATAAATCATCTAAGAAAAGAATGGATCTCCTGAAAAAGGAACGAGCAAAGTTATAAAGGAAACGATCTTTTGAAAGGGGGTACGGAGCAACATTGAGCAACATGGAGCAGCATGTTGTGCCATCCAAGATGAAGTTGCACCATCATGACGTGAGTTGCGCCAAATGGAATGGATGTTGCGCCATATTGGAGAAGTTGTGCGAAGAGGAAAGGATGTTGCACCATGTGAAGAAGTTGTGTCATCTTTGGGTGCATGGAGTGCCACACTGAAGGAAGTTGCGCCAAGAGGAAGGATCTTGCACCACAACTGAAGATGTTGTGCCACAAGTGATGAAGTTGCGCCGCGAGGGAAGATGTTGCACTACGTTGGTTCCTAGATAAGCTATGATATCCCTGATAAGTCACGAAGTCCTTTATGACATTCAAAAATTGATGATAGGTCACATCCACCAACGTAGTGCAACATCTTCCCTCGCGGCGCAACTTCATCACTTGTGGTAATAAAATTTTTTTGGTAGGAAGATAAGAATTTATTTTTCGACTTATTTTTTTGGCGAACAAAACAAATGAATCACTAAACGAATCAATAATAACATGATTCACCAAAAAAAATCCCGAAAAAACATTTCGATGATTCATTTTTATAATGATTTTGTTGATATTCACTAAAATTGTCATAAAAGTGATTTTTTTTTCTTGATTTACCTAAAAATGAATCATAAATGTGTTTTTTTTTGGAATTTTTTTCATGTGAATCATCTTATTTTTTAATCATCTAATGATTAATTTCATTTTTTTGTTAAGAAAATATGCATATAAAAAATTTCTTACATTCCTACTCAATACTACCTTTTTATTTGATCTTGACTATATATATATATATATATATATATATATATATATATATATATATATATATATATATATATATATATATATATATATATATATATATATATATTTCAAGATCGATGCTTCACTAATAATCACACTCTCCTCCGTCTGATTATTTTTATTTTTGTAGAAGCTTATCAAGTCAGTTTCTCCTTTCGTATTTTATTGTCGTATTCCATTCTTCTTCCCTATATTTGAAATTCTTCTGTTGGACATCATTACAGCGTCGTTTTTCCCTCTTATCTCCTTTCTCTTTAGCTTTTTTTCAGATAAATTATCCTTTGATACACTTTTTGCAGTTTCTATCGCAATCAATTTCATCTTTCGTTAGGTTATTAGGATGTGCCGTTTTGTATATAGGTTGATTGTTGGCCGACATCAAGGGCTTTCATATGTTACTATTAGGTTGGAAGAGCAAAAACCGAACCAAAAACCAAAAAACCGAAAAAGACCGACATAATCGAAACCGAAAAACCAAAACCAAAGCAATAACCGACGGTTTAGGTTTGAATTTTACAAAAACCGAAAATAATGGTTTGGTTCGGTTTTGACGTATAAAACCGCCCATAAAAACCGAACTGACTCACATATATATATATATATATATATATATATATATATATATATATATATATATATATATATATATATATATATATTATTATGATTTAACTTTTAGTTTTAGATTTTGGACTTTATCTCTTTAATACTTTATGTTTATTTTCAACAAACTGTTAATGGTATTAAACTTTGATCTTTTGAACTCTTTTATGTTTTTATAATACTAGAATTCGTACTCTTTATTTTAGTATATTTAAAGAAGATACAATACTATTTATCGAAACGTATTTTCACTAGGTTTGAACCCAAAAACTAGAAAAAAAAACAAGAGCTCATAAACCCACGATTTAAAACCGAAAACCCATAAACCCAATCCGGAAAACCGAAAAACCGACCCATGCAAAAACCGAACCTATATGGTTTTGAAAACCGAAAAACCGACTTTCTACGGTTTGGTTTGGTTTTAACCAAAAACCGACCCAAACCAACCCATGCTCATCGCTACTATTAGGATTGGGGTAAAAACGTCTACTTCAATACTAATCTGCGTATTTATTTTTTTCTTTCTTGAGTTATTATATTCTGGGCTAGGTCACAATTAGGTTATGTTTGGCATGCAACAACTAGTTTATTTTTCGAGTTTTTTTTATGTTGTTCTGTTTGACAATCCAGATAGTAGCTTATAAGCTAGCTTAAAATCTAGTTTTTTAAAAAGCTACTTACACTAGTGTTTTTAAAAGTTTCTTAAAAAAAAATCAAATATACCCCTTAATTAGTTATAGCAAAACATATTCTTTTAAATTACCCTTTTGTATTATTTTATATTTTTTAGCTAGTTTGTCGGCTACTTTTTCCAAACGTCATTTTTACCGGCTAGTTTTTCATCTTTCAACTAGCTTTTTATATAACAATTAGCTTTTAAGCTATCGGTTAGTTTTTCAGCTAACACGCCTAACATAGTCTTAGGCTATGGGTAAAAACTTCTACTTCAATAATCAATACTAATATGCATATTTACTTGTTTCTTTCTTGCGTTATTATGTTGATATGCATATTTACTTATTTCTTTCTTGCGTTATTATGTTGAGTTGTTTTGGAATAAGATTGCTATTGTATGGATGATTAACATAGATAGAGAGGCTAACCAACTTTATTTCGGGTGAAAGCATACTTCACACGTACAATTGTCGTATGACATTTAGCTTTGCACATGTTGCTTTCTATTCGGATCTACCTTTTTTTGTTCATGCCAAAATAAGCAATCAATATATGTCTCTGAAAATTTATCATAAATAATCAAAATAATTCCATTTTGTGATCATCCTTTCACATGTAGGGGTAAAAACGTCTAATAGCGGTAAAATTAAACATAAAATTCATTTGCTTCAGCTGGTTCTCTTACTTTTCTGGAACGCTTTTGTTCGACTCCTACGTATATCTAATGATCAATATTTTTTCTTTTATCTTCAAAAACACGTATTAATGCTTGATTATACTCGAACTTACATTTGTAGCCCTTGGTTTATTCTCCATACTTTACCATCTACCCATCTTCCAACTTTCTTTTACTAAATCATTTTGTAGAAGTTATATATTTAGCCCCTCAAATTCTATAAATAAGCATGTATTTTACTTTTTATTAGTTTAATTTACCTTTTAGTTGCTTATCATGACAACTTTCCTCCTAGATGTATTTTGTTATGTACAAAATATTTACAATAAAGGTCATTTTTTATTATTCGCATAGAGCTTTCGAAATCAACAAATTGACCCTTCACTAGGACATTTTTTTTCTAGGAAATAATTAATTTGTAATTGTTATGTAAAAGTATTGGTCCTCAATCTTAACCTAGAAACATAATAATGATAAACATCTTATCTATAGCCATGACATGTATAGAATTCATTGAATAAATTAAAAGTCTAAAACTTTCACTAAAACACAACTTATTTGTCAAAGAACGTAACCCAAAACTTGGCTGAAAATTGGCCAGTTGGACGATACCATATAGACCGTTTGTCAAAAATGACTAAACTAGTGTGTCGTTGGAGTCGGATCGTTGGGGACATAGAATACAACATTAGGATGTCTTAGGGTGATGTGACGTCTTGGCTAGGCCTTTCTATGGTTTCTTGTGGAATGGTGATAAACTTGGATATACTTTGATGCAAATATTAAGTGCAAAATAAATAGTAACTTATCAACAATAACATAACAATGAAGACTAAGTAAATAATGACGATAATAAGAACATTTAGATATGATAGTGAATCACACTACTAGAAAAACAGCCTTTTACGACGCTCATTACGCGTCGCAAAAGGCTCAGACGACGCGCAAATGCGCGTCAAGGAAGGCCCTGTCATAAAGAGAGACGACGCGCATTTACGACGCTCATTTACGACGCGCAATTACGACGCACGTTTACGACACGCAATGCGTGTCAAGGAAGGCCCTGTCATAAAGGAAGACGACGCGCATTCGCTTGTCGTGACCTTACGACGCGCGTGTTAATGACACGCAATGCGTATCAAGAAAGCCCCTGTCAATAAAGGCCATGTCATAAATTAAGATGACACACATTTTTGCGTATCATAAATTTAAATGTTTAAAAAAAATTATATATTTTTTAATTTTTAAATTAAATTTGCATTTAATTTCTCCTAATAGAAATAAAATACCATATACAAAAAATACAATCCATTGCATAATATAAAATAAAATTTCATACTCAAAAAATAAAATAAATTGCACAAATTATAATGTCATACAAAGAATCATTCAAATGTTAAACAAAAATAATACATTGCTAACATGGGTTATACATTCTTATAAAACTAACAAATAATCATACAACTCTATTTCTTACTGGAAAGGAATGCCAAACATGATTACAAGTCTCCCTTAATCTTGATTACTCACCTGCTTAAGTAGAATGTTGTTGTTGAGAAGGTTACCTAGCAACAGAGAAAAACACAACACCTCTCCCATAATCACAACATCATTTACAGAAATAGGGTTATCAATTACTTTCATTAAGACTTTCATTCAATCACAAAAATATTAAATAAAAGGGTGAAAAAAATAACTTACTTTTGATAAGTTGATCTCCCTTAGAGCAAACACAGCTAAAGCATTGAACAAGACCCTATTTCAAAATTTTATAAATACATAAATCATGATATCTGATACTGGAATACACACTTTGAGACATGAATTAATACGAGTAGATTAACCTGGATACATAGGAAGTAAAGATGGAAGGTGCCAGAACTCCGGGGGCATTGGGTTGGTTCCTTCCCACTCGCACACACCAAGCCAGAACTCCACTTAATCCAGCACCAAAATAAGCCTGCATTCAGAAAGCTGCAGGGGTGAGTCACAATTCAAGAATCTGTTAAAATTTGAGGAATAACAAGTTCAAACAAAACAATATTAGAAAACAGTGTTAAATGTGAATCATAACAATGTAATAATTATCAAGGTACTGGAATACTTGAAATCTAGATTATTTACCTTTTGATTGTAAATCTAAAGATTCCTCATGCACAGATTATGTTCTTTTCAACTCTTGCACAGTGGTAAATTTCAATTTAGCTGGTTTGTCTGTTCTTTTCACCTGATCTTTTCATCTCTAGGCATCGTATCTATTTATTCGTTGCAGACTAGTGAGCTTCCATCATTATGTTCTTGAAATCTTGATTGTTAAACTTCTAATTTTGAATCTGAGTTTTTATTACAATGTTACTATTGTAGCACTTACTTAATGCACACATATTTACTATGATTAGGTTCTTGTCAACTCATACATGATGTTAAATTGCAACTGAGATATCCATTAAATCCACGTAAAATGACTATTTCGCCCAAATTTTTGTATTTTTACTAATTCTTTTGTACATTAACTCACAACAATGAACTTTGAATCAAATGATCCAGACTTCCATTTTACTTCTCATGAACTGTATCATATTTTTATTAGGAATCAAGTTTATTGATGTTAAATAAACTCTCTTAACATTTCTTTCCTATCTTGTAGTTGTTACTAGTTTGCTTTATAACATTAATGGTAAAGTAAGACTGTTATCTCCTGACATTGATGATAAAATAAACTTCTTAATTCCAGGTTCAAGTATTCCAGCACTTTGCTTTATAACATTAAATGGTAAAGTAAGAAATAACCTTTATGTTGTTCGAGGAAAACAATATTTGCCTCCATCCGAGATTTGTCATGCAACTGACTACAAAAGAGAAAACCCATAATTTATTTCACAATACATAAAAAATAAAAAGATTTAACGCTCTAAAAGGTAATTAAAAAATCCATTTAACAACCTGATAGTAGGTCGCTTTGCTTCAAGGACACCGGAAATCAGTTTTTTACCACCAGTGACAGGAGCTAGCCTTGATGCCATTTTATGGAAGAATCTTATCTGTAAAAAGAATAATATATGATTTTTTTATTGAGAAATAAATTTTTTTTTACAAAAAATACAACTATCAGATTAATTAATTTGCTTGTTGGGATACCAAGCATCGGTGAGAGTCCGGGTTTCCAGCATCCAATCGGTGTAGTTGCTTTAGGGCCCTTTTACTTTTAATTAATAAAATATTAAAACAAATATGAAAAAACATAAAAAAAGAAATTAAAAGGGCAAAACAATCATTTTAAATCTTTCAGGGACCAAAACCAATTTTGTAGTTTTGTCAACAAAAGAATAGTAATTTTTATCATTTAAAACTTCAATTCATAAACACTTAACCACTATTCAGCATCACTTCTAGGTAGAAGGGTAAAATGGTCGTTTACTCAATAAATAACCAGTCTATATGTTCGTTTATCACTTTCAAGAGACAGATATCATTTATCCATCTAGAAATTTAACATAAAAAATTAAAAAAAAGAAAAAAAAGGAAGAAAGCTCTTACCTGTTATGCAAAGGACCATACCATTAATCAACAACCATCCCTCATGGCCATTCCTTGAGAAGAATTGATAGATGTAATGTGGTGATATTGCCTTGAAAATAGAAGGGTAATGATATATGATATTGTAAATTCCAATAAGAGGAGTAGTCAATGTCCATGCACCCATGATAGGTGAGAAGAGAAAGCTCACTCTTGTAATTCCAAATTTTTTGAACCAAAAACAGAACAACAAGAACTAATGCAGACAGGCTTCCACCAGAGCTGAAAAGTAAAAAAAAAAAACATAAAAAAAATATGACAAGATCTTTATAAATGTAGTTGAATAAACAAAACTCAGAGGAATGATGCACAATATCACACTATAATTCCATTATTTATATAAAGCAAAGTCAGTCTAAGGCTTTTCAAAGCAAAATTAATGTTGCACTTATAAACATGAAGCACTCAATACTTGGTTTAGTGATGACATTATTGGAAAAAGAAGTACCTGAGCCTCCACTTGTTTGACCTGCATCCCATCTGTATGCAAAAAGCTAAACTTTATTTATATTCAACACAAACTATAATTCCATGTAAAAAGAATTCATTTAATTATGTGACAATCTGGCTTCAAGATGTTTTTGAGCAACAAAAGTTTGACCTAATTTACCTGGTGATTGGTTCCTCACGAAGTAGGTAGGAAAGAGATTGATACAATTTCTTGAGTATGACCAAAGACACACACTAAAAACATACACTTAAGGGATAATGCATGCCCTGAATCTACATAACAAATTAGTGTAAATGTTGTATGTGAAAAGGGGTTTGCTTAACCATTTCATAAGGGATTACTCAATTATCATCTTAAGATTATGCGTTTTACTAAAATTTAAAAATAGTTATAGATTAGATGGTCTAACCTTTTCAAAGACACAAATGATTGTGCTTCCACCAAATGAGAAATATCCAAACTGTATATACATAAATAAATAGGAAGACGTGTGAATCTGAATTAGAAAGTGAACTAGGGTAGAAATGGAAATTTACATATATAGTTAAATAAAATATCGATATTCATTCACTTAATACAAACTGGGAGGAACATCTTCTGCACAAAAAGAGCAAAGATGAGCCTCGCTTGTAATAAATGAAGCAAAATGGTGTGTTACATGAAACGTACCTTGTTTTTTGCCAGCTACAAGGTAAAAAAATGAATTTACCCCCACTAGCATAATGAAAAACTCTTGTATTGTATATACAATTTCGGCTTTTGTGAGTCCTATTTATTTAATTGCTGAATATGTAGCCGAAACTGCTGAAGCCTCGGCAATCAAAGCTGCGGGTAGTCGAGCCTGAAGGCAAGCACCAATGTCGAATGGACGCAATTCAGATCCATCGAATAGGAGATTGACACCTGGCAAGACAGTTTCTCCATTGTCCTTATCATCTGGGTCACCCTTTTCTTCTCAGCCTACCCAATCCCATCTTCTCCCCAAATCACTCGAAACCGTAACCCCTAATTCACTTATTCAACAGTGGGATTAATTTTGTATTTACGGGAAAATAGAGAGGAAGAAGATTAATACGAAAGTAAAATAAGCGCAATGTTGGGCCCCATTTCATCTGTTTGTATTTGTGGTTCACCATCTTCAGATATGAATCCCATTTCATCTGTTGTTGTCATAGAAACAAATCATTAAAAACATCAACAAAGATATATGAAATATTATAAAACCAATTGAATTCTTCTGGAATTAGGGTACTAATATTCTGATCATAGGAAAATAGTTCATCAATTTGACCAAATCAAGGTAGCCTCAATTTCGTGCTTCATATTTCATAAACCATCTCAGTAAGAAGAAAGTGATAATATTCAATTAAAAATGAAACAAGAACCAAAAAAAGTTAAAAACAAAGAATGAAAGGGAGACGAAGGAGACAGTCCCAAATCTATTAGGTATAAACAGTTCTTTTTTTGTTGATTGGTTTAATTGAGGCAATCCATCAAACACTTGGTATGCATTTTAATAAAGAGAAACCATGAGACAGCTATTTCACTTACATACTTCCAACTTACAACCCACTCCATCAAAACAATCATGTTAGAATTCTTCATTGATGTTACATATGTTTAGGTTTGATTATGAACAGGATCACAGATGAATCAGTTTACCTGAGCTTTGTTGAGAAACTGTCTCTAATTGGGACCATTGATGCCTGATCCTTGTTTGTCTTGATCCACATTCTCGCTTCCATGCTGTAAATCATCTATCTTCTAGACTATGGTCTCGTCAGATTCATCATTTTCTAGGTAAACAATTCCATCTCCTTCTCCTTGCTTCCCTTTACCAACATCCTCACTTACTAGCGGTAAATCCTCTGTGACCTTATCTCCACCTGCGTCTGGTTCACCGCCCTAATTTATCGCGTTGTTCACATCACCTACTACATAATTCTCCAACACGACTTCCACCTTGATCATTGATTCGGAAGAAACAGCAGGAGATGTAGTTGATACGCCATCAATTTTATTAGATTTTTTGCACCTTATAGCCGTCTTCAGAGGAGGCATGTCTGATTTGTATATGACCCAACTTCAATGACTTGTTTGACGGGATGAGGGTTAGGGTTCTTGTAGCTATTAAAGGGGATTAAAGTACCGATCGATCAACACACACACACACACACACAGAGAGAGAGAGAGAGAGATAAAGGAGGCATGTCTGATTTGGTAACTTTTTTGAAGATGACTATTGTTTAGGGCTATCAGTAGCACCGTCGACTCTGCTACCACACTGTAATAAACAAATCGCCTTAGAAGGCCCTTCATCATCTTGCACTGCCCTTACTTCCTCCAGTGACAATTTCGAACTCGACGGGGAGAGGCAATTAGTCGACTCAACTCGCTGATGATGAAGGTTGCCGATGAGGAATGGAAATCATTTTGAATTATAGGGTTTGTAAACGTGGGGAGTCGTTGTAGATGAAGTAGGGTAGAGGTGAAGAGGAGTGAGCGGGGTACTTCAAAATTTTGGGGGATTTTCCCCCTTTAGCTATTATATTAATGAAGGATCAGACTCTCGTTCTTACAACACAGAACGAAGCCATCATAAAACCATGTTTCTGGTGGTGGCGGCTGCTAGGTTTTACAGAGAGAAGGAGGGGAGAAAATGAAGGTCATTGGTAAGTGGAGAGGAATGAATGAGCGGGTCCTCCAAAATTTTGGGGATTTTTGTCGATCGATCGTTTCCCTCCTAAAAGGCGTGTTTCATTAAAAATTTATAAAGCGACATACTTACATGACGAACATTTTATAAAAGGCGCCCTCCGCATTTCCTTTTTTTTCTTTTCTAACACTAATTTTAGGGCACGCACAAATGCGTGTCTTCTATCCTTCAAATTTTGCAAAACTGACACTATTTTTTAGGGCACCCACAAATGCGTGCCCTCTATCGGCGAGTGTCATTGTTTGCGCATCATTAAAGGCCAGTTTTCTAGTAGTGTCATGTTCATTTGGAAAAAGGTTTAGAGAAACAACATATTGATTTCTATATTTATAAACAAAACAATATGCCATGCATAAGAAATGTTGTTACTAGCATGATGGTGAAAGATACATTACTAAGGATATAAATAAAATACATTTATATTAACAAGTAGGTAACACACATGCAACTCACAAACAAAGATAAGGTCAACTTGTTCTGGAACAAACTACTTTTGTGATCTCTTCTTCTTAGGGCATGGGTTCAAACTTATATATACTATACCGAGACAAATTGTTGATACTTTTCTGTGAAGTGACCCTCTCAGCTCCGCATGGAGTCAACACAAGATTATGAGAAGTGCAGATATGATGAATGATCCCCATAAAAGACATATATGAAGTGAGAATTGATGATGACCCTCATAGACATGGATGTTGGAAATAGTGTCTAGAATAGCAACAGTTGGTAATATTCCTATTAATACTAAGGTTATTTTAGGTTATACGTAACGACAGATTTTAGCACCAAATGATATGAGAGTTTTGATGGGTTATAGTTTGTTAATTAATTAAGGGTTTAATTAATTTAATTAGAAACTCGTAGACTTCATAAATTCAAGAGTAAAGATTTGAAATTCAGATCTTTAGGATAGTTACCAAACCTATGGATAAATACTTAGTGACCAAGTAATTATCCCATAAAAAGTTTCTAAACCTCCTATATAAATAGAGGAGCCCTATGAATGAATTTTAGATTACTCAAAACCTAGAAAATTTGTTCTCTTCCTAACAACTGAAAATCCCGAAAACTCTTTTGTCGTGACGCGATAGTTCTTCGATGCGCTGCAGTTTACAGTTAGAATCCTAATTGTTTAGGGTTTGGTGTTCTACAGTTTGGAGTTTGTCAATGGTTGATAATCTACTTCTTGGGTGAAACTAAGAAAGAAGAGTTATGTTTTGGATGCTTAGGAATTCTCTCTCTCTCTCTCTCTCTCTCTCTCTCTTTATATATATATATATATATATATATATATATATATATATATCAATATCCAAGAAGGTTTTAAAGGAGTAAAAGGGTATGTTTTCTAGATTCCTCTTAATTATTTGTTGTGATTGATTAGGCTGAACATATATCTGTGTTTTGGTTTATAAGGTTAATTTAATATATATTTTTTTTGATGTTCGCCTTTCTGGCCTTTACATCTCTCATAACTCAACAGTCGTATTAGAGCCACTCAACTTTATAATTATTAATTTGATCTAATAGTTAAAATCCAAGTTCAAAATAACTGCTTATTTTAAGTTGTATGGATCTAATACATTGAGTATCGACTTGACCTATGTGCTATGTTTTGGTTGTGCTTTTGGAATTTTTTTTACCTTTATGTAATTTACTTTTTTATTTTGTAATATGTAATTTTTATTTATATTGTAATAGTTTAGTTTCAAAAATTGTATTATAATAGAAAAAACTTAATTTTACTAAAGACCAAAGATCAAGAGAAGGATCAAGGAGTTTGGACTCTCATGACGCTTTTTCTGTCATCAAGAATTGTTGGTTGTTCAAGTGGTAACTTTGAATTGTCATTTTGTCAATTATATGACTTTTCTTTCCTTTGATAGATCATACGAGAGACGCATATGATCGATGTTGGTGGTATCTTAACTTGAACTGTGATTGTGTTTGTATCTTTTATGGTTATTTATATTTTGTGTGGTTGTTTTATAAAATTAGAATCGCAAACTATTAAAAGTTACCAAATAAAAAGCTTTAATTAAAGTTTATAAAATTGGCTAAAACATGAATGGTTTAAACAAGTAATAAATAATAAATTGTTTAAGTTCTTTTTACTAAACAAGCCAAACAAAATCCATTTTTACAAAAATATAAATCACATGCTACCCATGAATGAACATACTTTATGTTACAATTTGCTAGCGTAGGCTAGTTCCTATAGCCAACGCGTTAGTCTGATTATGTTCGAGGTTACATGTTATTCCCTACAATTCAAGTGTAACTTGGGTCAGTGAATATTTGTTTATTGCATGTTTCATGATCCTCGGTAACCCACTAACTAATGTTGGATGAGCATGAGAGAGGTTAAATGTGAACATAAGCCAATAAATCTCGACAGCTCTAGGACTTTCAAAGAGAGTGAAATTGGAAAATAGTTTGTCTACCTAAATAGCTTCTTGGTGTGATTAAACAAAACATTTCCATGTCTTGGAGTGAAATATGGATCCTAGAGTTACTTAAATAATTTTGATATAGATGGGTAATTATTTTTCTAAGGATTAATAAAACAAACTAGAATGGAATTATATAATATTAAATGATGTCTACAAATGAAAATCGTACATTGTAATTCTACTGTTATAAATCTTCTAAAATGATAAGTTGATTAGGCTGACCAAATATTAAATTACTTTGTAGTTTGAGAATAGTTTTCAAGAACAAAGAGAAAAGCTATGCCTAGATAAAGCTCTTCCTAAGGTTCCTCCAACTATTATATCTTTAGTTATTGAAAGGAGTATGTGCCAAGTGTATTTTATACATTGACATGATATAAGAAACATGGAATTCCATTAAGCTAGGAGTTGACTATGATTATCATGATCAACTAGCTGACATGTACATATAATCACTTCACTCTGATTTTGATATGAATGACTTGAAATATCCATCATGGAGTTACATGACATGTTAAGAACTTCTATAACTAACATAGCCAAGTAAAGAAACTCCAACTATAATGCTCCCGCATTTACTATCATGAGTGGAACTGTCAAGAAGAAGAACGCCAGTATCCGATTGGCAAATGATGGTTAAATTTGGTGTACGATTTCCAACCCTAATGCCAAGGACAAAAAGAAGGTTAACTCTTAGACATTTTTTTTCACAACTAGCCTTTTTCTAGGAAATTTTGTACTCTTGTAAACATCATCTATTGTGATACATGTAATTCTTATTTGATATCATGCACTATGCTAAATCACTAACAACAAACTTAATAAAGATTCACAAGTGAATCTCAAAACTCTATACAAAATGTTTCAAATAGTCAACTAAGGGTCGAAAACCGTAAGAATCCCAGTTCAAGTTTATGATGGACTAGGATTTTCTTATTGGGACTAATGGACCAATAAGCATTCAATTTGACTATTTTGGGCTTAGAACCCTTAAATGGGCTCTAAATGGACCCACATTTACAAAACTTAATATTTTGGATCGTGTGGGCCTAAAATGGTTTAGTTTATCTCTAATGGGCCTCGTTGGGTCATAAATGACTCCACTTACCCTAATGGGCCTTAAACCTTTTTAATTAGGCTTAATGGGCCGTGAACTCCCATAAAAGGGGCTAATGGGCCGAGAGCTAATTAGTTGGGCCACATAGGGCCATAACCAAGAATGTAAGGCCCAAGTCACCCTTCCTTCTTCTCTTCTTAGCCTTTCTCGGCCCAACTATGTAAAAATAGAGATTTGCATCAAAAGAGGTGGTGACACCTCATTTTTATTTTGAGGACAACCAAGTTAATTACATAACATGCATCTAAGCAAGACTTTAGCCATGGAGTAATAACCTAATTGAAAACCCCTCATCTCTCTTCTTATTATCTTCGGCCGAGACCTCACACACACCACCATGTTCATATTACTTCAAACACTTACAAGAAATCTCTCAAGAACTCCTTCATCTTCCTTTGAATTTTTGAAAATTAGAGTGTGTTTCAAGAGGTTCTTCATAAAAGTTCACCACAATTAGTAAGTTTTAGTTAGATCTTCATGGTTTTAACTCCAAGGTACACCTTAAATCTCTTCTTAACCCACATTATTTCATAATCCATACTCTAGAACTTCATAGAACTCAAGATTAACTCAAGGGAAGCTTGGTAGGGCTGAAACCTCACTCTTTTCTTCACCAAACCGAGAACAACCAAGAAATGTGAGTTCATACCCCTTGATTTTCGTTTTACTATGTTTTAGGGGAGGATACAATTTGAAATGTGCTAGATCTATGTATTTGTGCATGGTTATGTGTGTTTTCTTGATTTAAATTGTGATTATGTGATAAAACATTATA